ATGTGAAATCGGAGCATCATATAGAGCCGATTTTTTATCATGTTTACCTATTGAAAGTCGAAATGAGAGTCAAAATAAAGAAAAATTTGAAATAAATTTTTTAAATTATATGTTTTATGTGTTTAGGGCTCAGTTAAATATTTCGCTTTTCAATAAAGGTTCCGTCGCCAAAAAAGTTTGAAAAACATTATGCAACTGATTACGAAAAGTTGATTATGTCACCAGTTACGAAAAAAAAAAAAAAATAATAAATAAATAAATAAAACTGCCTCTTTTTTGGTTTTTATGTTGAAAAATCGAAAAATCGTGAAATCGAGAAATCAAGAAATCGAAAAATCTAAAAAATCTAAAAATCGAAAAATAAAAAATCGAAAAATCCAAAAATCCAAAAAACGAAAAATCGAAATATCGAAAAAAAGGCAATGAATAGTGACATTTCACATTTGAAAATATGACATTACGCTAAACAACAAAAAAGAAAACAAAAAAAGAAAAGCTGTAAATTGCGTTTTATTTTTAAAATAACACCGTTATTGAAAACTGCCCAGAAATGTTGGAGGTAAAATTTTGACGTACGCCTTTAAGGATAATGGGTAAAAATGTTTTTTTTTTTCAACACTGCACGTCCCTTATTTTTATTATTACTATTGAAAGAAAAAAAAAGTCGTAGGGCAATCAAATACAACAATTTTCTAAAATATTTGATTGGAAGTACCTACAAAAGAATGATGGTGAATCAATTTTTAACACAATTTTATAAATAATCAAGTCAAAATTAAAAAAAATCTTGCATGTAAACACGATACGAAATGCCGTTTTGTCCTCGTTTCGCTCGTTCCGCAAATATTTACTCGTTACACAAAATAAGGCATTTCGTAACTGGTTACATAAATAACTATTAATTGACTTCCTAATATTTTAATTCATTGAACGGTATTTTCCGTAAATAATTAAATCATAAATAATTACCGGCATATAAGTACCAAAACATTTTTTTCTAATAAAATTTAATTATTTATTTTATTTTGGTGTGATCGTAGAAAAAATCTTGTGTGTAATTCAAGCAAAAAGTACTTTGGCTGTTTCAACAGCTATTTTGTTGCAATAATTTTATAAACTTTTACTTAGGGGTTTGTTAAACGAAGTTTAAAATACTAAACGAAGCTTAAAATGCCATTTTTATATTAACAAAAACGAAGTTTAAATTACTAAATGGAGTTTAAAATGACATTTTTACATTAACAATGTCATTTTAATCTTCGTTTAATAATTTAAACTTCGTTTGACATAACGGTGGAATCGGCCCTTAGCTAGTTATATATTGATAACGTGTTATTGCCCTCATCATACATGAATCGTGTTAACAAATAAAGTCAAAAAAACGTCTCATAATTTTTCATCTTTTAGTTACCCACCAAAATTAGGTACTACAATATTTAAGTCCGGCCCAGAACATCTCCCTACTCCTTCCACCCAGTTTTTCTCTACCTCTACCCTTTCTAACCTCTTTGGTTCTAACATATCTGTCATCTGTCAGTTTTGACATGTAAAATTAAAATGCAATTCTTTTGGTTTCAGAGGGTCGACTGAAGGGTATACGAAAGGATGCTATCTCCATAGTTCCTATTTGGCCATTAATTTTATTTTTAAGGAGTCAAAACTAAGTAGATGATAAAAATAACAAATTTTTTAAAAGATGTATAAGAGTTTTTCAGTTTTTTTTTTGTTTTTATATTTATGTCGCTTCCTTATAGTCTAAATAATATAAAAATAATCAAACAATTGCAGTTTTTTTATTCTATTTCTAAAAAATTGGGGTTACGTATGTATGATCCTAAAACTAACGAAATTTCCCTAAAATAGGTAAATTTTCCTAGAGTTGGTAACGCTGACTGAATGCTAATGCGGATGGAAGCATCTACGCCATCTCCTTTATTACACAACCCTGTAAAATAACATTTTTAACAATTATTTACCCTTAGATAAAAGAGACCAGAGATATAACATACACCGGTTTTAAACCTGCGCAAATGTTGCCAATTTCTAAAGAAGGGTTAACGGAGTGGGGGAACTGGGCGGCGACACGCGGCGACCCGAACTCTGTGACAGGGACCGGACTTTGTTTATTAGCATCTTAATGAACTATTAGGTTTATTTAAAAGGTGTTTAATCGAATTTTGTATTATGAAATCAAATTATCGTGATTTTTTAATATCAAACAGATGCCACGACATTTTATGTAAAGAGAAGACCTTTTATAGAATATTTCGTTAGCGTTTATTTACTACGGACTTTTCTGCAAGAGATTAAAGTAAAATGTTGAAATAGAATATATTGTTAATAGAGCAAAAAATGTTACTCATTGTCTACGAGTATTATAAAAATAGCATGTGCGCAGGCTAATACTGCAAATCTACCCTTATGAAATGAACATTATATTTTTTCTACGGCTATTACATATTATTAAAAATTAGTCAAAATGAGAAAATGCTGTTTCGTATTGTAACCTCAGAAAAAGTATATTAAGGCTTCTTTCTTTAAGAATATTAATTATTATAAAGGATGAGTCACATAAAACTCTAGAAATGCATATGTCTGAAACCAGATAACATTTTAAAATTTAAATCTATTAAAAGTCATTTGGTCGCTAGGGATGAGTGATTATCGAAATAAATTATCGATAATTGAAAATAATCGATTATTTTCGATCAATAGAATATTTTCAAACGATATATTTTCTGTCATTTCCTTTAAAATCGACTACTTGATTATCTTTGAAAAATCAAAAATAATCGATTAATTAAAAAGCCAATTAACCGATAAATCAGTGTTTACAAAATATAATATAAATAGAATTATCGTCTGTTTTAAATAATCGATTATTTTCAAATAAACCATTTTTTTCGTCCATGGAAACAGATTATTCGATAATCTTTGAAAAATCGAAAATAATCGATTAATCAAAAATAATCAATTAAAAAGTCGATTAACTGATAAATCGATTTAAAAAAAAAAACAGACTGATCGATTATTTTAAATAATTAATTATTTTCGAACAATCGATTATTATCAATAATCTATTTTTATTGTATTTCCTTTAAAATCGTTAATTCGATTATCTTTGAAATACCGAAAATAATCGATAATTCCAAAATAATCGCCTAATCGAAAATAATCAATTAATTAAGAAGCCGATTCTATGATATATCGATTATTACCAATAATCTATTTTATTGTATTTCAAAAATATTCGATTAATTAAAAAGTCGATTAACTGACAAATCGATTTACAAAAAAAACAGAATGATCGATTATTGTAAATAATCGATTATTTTCGATCAATCGATTATTATCAATAATCTATTTTTATTGTATTTCCTTTAAAATTGATAATTCGATTATCTTTGAAATATCAAAAATAATCAATAATTCCAAAATAATCGCCTAATCTAAAATAACCAATTAATTAAGAAGCCGATTCTATGATAAATCGATTTTCCAAAAAATAAAACGAATTATCTATTATTTTCTAATAATCCTTTTTTCATATTTCCTTTGAAATTGATTATTCGATTATCGAAAATAATTGATTATTAAAAATCTGATTATCCAATAAATCGATAATTTTAAAAAAATAACCAAAATATCGATTATGTAAAATAACCGATTATATTCAATCGATTATTTTCATATAATATCTTTGAAAAATCGAAAATAATCAAATAATTAAAAAACCGATTAAACGATAAATCGATTATTTTGAATAAATCTACTTTTTTTGTATTTCCTTTAAAATCGATTAATACATTATCTTAAAAAAAAAAACGAAAATAATTTATTAAAAACAGCGGATAAATCGATTTTCATTAAAAAATATCAGAATTATCGATAAATCGATTATTTTTGTAACCCCTATCGGTCGCTTGCTTTTATCTGAGCATTTAGCTCCAAAATTTAGAGATTCGGATTTTTTGATCCAGTTATCTTTGAAATCGCATTCGATTGTATAATAAATAAATATTGCTAAATTTTGGATTTTTTTTAGTAAACGAAAATTATGTTCGATTTGTTTAGGGGTTTGTAATGTAACATTTTATTAACGTGACTAAGGGTCGATTCCACCGTTGTGTTAAACGAAGTTTAAAATGACATTTTTACATTAACACTGTCATTTTAATATCCGTTTAACACAACGGTGGAATCGGACCTAACTCCTGTAACTTTAGTATTTTTTTTTGCTTATACTAGATTACTTTGTTTTAAGACTGAAAATTCAATGTCACTTTCGATTTGACCGCAAATAAGATGAACCTTGAAATTTTAAGTAGGTCATCCTGTATTTCATCTAATATTCTTATAAAAATACCTTATAAAAATAAAATTTAGCTAGCAACTATGATTCTTTACCTCTTATTTATCTACCAAAAATGGCTAAAAACTACCTTTAGAAAACATTCTTATAAAACTACTTTTTAAATACAAAATTTCGTTAGCAATAATGCCTATTTACTATTTATTTAAATTAAATGTTCAAAATTTTACCCTTTTGTAAATTTATGTAAGTAATATGAAATCTGAGTTTGTGATGCTTAATATTTATTGAAACCCCTTAATGCGGATCTGAAGTATTCAGCCCAGAGAATCATGGCGCTTTATGTCAAAACGTTAATAAATATTTACCGCTGAAAACGAATATATTCATAACAGTAGTACTTGTATTATAAGTACATACAATCTTTCAAGATACATCGTGACATTTTGAACTTGAAATTGAATAACTAGAACACTTTAAATTGCTAAAATACCAACAAATAAATCAAAAAACAGCTGTCAATGGTGATTAAACTCAGGTGGAGATGTGATCGCTGAATGGAAATCGGAGCAATTCGGGTGGCGTCGTGCAACAATGATTTTCAATTGGTGGGTTACTTTGGCTTAAAATAGACAACATGCGCAGTGTGCAATGTTACATCTTCGGTCTCTTTAATCTAAGTATTTACCTTAATTCATCCAAAGCATCATTCAGATCATGCATTCGTCGCCTTTCTCTAGCATTAATATTTAAACGGACGGTTTTTCCTTGTCTATTTTTTCCTTTAGACGAAGACGGATTCTGGGGATTTTGTAATCGAGATTCTTGGGACCTAAAAAAATAACTTATTGTGGTAAGTTCAGCAATTTGAAAAAAAAGTGCGCTTTTTACCTGTTGCTTTGACTAGAACATCCAGGATCGGGGTTATTTTCATCAGAGGGAGGTCCATGGCTGACAATATTTGGGTTAGGTTGGCTTCCTTGAAAGTAGAACCCGCCAAGGCCGACTGCACTTAAAGGGGTCCGTCTTCCTGGCGTTTGGTTTTCTTCGGCGTTTGACGGAAATTGTGGAAAACCTACTTGATCTAAAGCAGCAGTGGCAGGATGGACAGAACCCGATGCTGAAGCTGAACTGCCCTGAAAACATAAAGTTGCTACTAAATGTTACGTTGTAATCGTCACTCCCTTTTAATAGTTACAATATTTAATTAGTTCATTATTATTCCAATATATTCTAATACTTTTTGAGCGCCCCTCGTATTTGGAATTATAGATATTATGTTGAAACGGGAATTTGTCTCTGTCTAAGGACATTCGATAGCCCAACCAATGATGCGCTCTCTCTAAAAATCAATAATTACGGTCAGATGTCGTGCGCACGCCTGGCTTACTTATGGATGGGGAATATTCACCTTTTCACACATTTGGTCAGCTGTCGGCTTTTGAACTTTCTTTTCAATCTAGCAGCGAGGTAAACCGGTTGGGTTTAGTGCTTTGTGTGTCCGAATAACTAAGGTAATCTCGAATTTTTTTTTATTAATGAAAAGTAGAAATTAATTTTATTGTGTGCATATTCTGCTGAAATTATCTTTTGAGTTATCTCTTTTATTAATAGTGAGCTTTTCGCGTAATATAAATTCCAAAATGTACAAAATGGCTGCCATTAATTTTATATTTTTTTTTCTTCTCAGTTATTTGAAAAGATCTTTCCATTCTTCATGTGTTTTAAATTAAATACTATTGCAACTCTCTAATATTGTTGTAAAATTTGAAATGTTTAATTTAAGAATGTTTAATTTAAATTGTAAGATTTATTGCTGGACACATTTGTTGTTTTTTTTTTGAAGCAATGGAAAGATACGTTTTTTTTTTGTTGTAACAGACACGTTTTTTCTTTCTTAAAAAAATAAGGAACTGGGTCTGGAACAAATTAAGGAACTGGCTCTGGATCTGTACCAAAATAAGGAACTGGGTCTGGAACATAATAAGGAACTGGCTCTGGATCTGTACCAAAATAAGGAACTGGATCTGGAATAAAATAAGGAATTGTCCTTGGTAATCTGGAACTGCAGAATCATTGTCAGCTAGTTGCCACTAGAGCTGCGGAATATCTTGGGCTGAGTTGCGTAAGGAACTGCAGTGTTTGAAGTCATCGTAGACTCACCGCTCACCTACCATTAAGACAGGGACCAGACCAGTTCGACCGTTAAATCCGGAAACACAAGATAAGTGTCGGCCAGGACCACACACACAATTTTTGAGTCACTAGTCAATTTTTATTTTAAACTTATTGGTAAAACGTAATCTGAAAAATGTGTTAAAATCAATTAATTTAATTTTCTTTTTATTATGTAATCAGTCAAATTCAAAATTTAAATTAAAGCTGATTAATTGTTTTGAAATTTTAGTCTTTTTTTTTTACTTTCAACCGACAAGTTGATGACAAATTTGCTTTTATTTTACATCTAAAAGTATGGCGCCCAAAATTAATTTCATTGAATTCTTTTAAGTCTTTTTAATTAAAGACTTTGTCATTGACTTGAAGGTAAATTCTAAACGAATCCCACTGACCTATTTTGATCTGAGCTAGGCCTGAGGCTTGTAAGAATTCTTATTATAAGGATTTTTACAATGAGACCCAGGTAAAGGGTTAGAAATTTAACGTGGTGCAAAATATGTTTAAATAATATATCTTTGAAACGTAACATTTTTGTCTTTATAAAACGTTTATTATTTGAAACGTAACATAAAAATGAAATGGATAAAATTAATTTACAATAATTTTATATTTCAGGATAACGATGGGAACTAATAGTTTAATAAATAATTTAAAAATATTAAAACTTTGTATTGATGAACGATAAGGTCTGGTTCAACCGTCTCTTAACACAAACTTTAAAAGCTTATTTTTACGTTTGTTGTACCAAATCTACTTACAGATTAACCAAATCTTTTACCTTATATACAGGGTGATCCATTAGTGTGAAAAAGTCCAATATCTCTGCCATTATTAGAGATATAAAAAAAATTTTTCACAAAACTGTAGACAGCGTTATACTACATATTTTAAAATTATTTCTGAATATACAGGGTGTTTAATAACCTCCCTCTGCAACCAACTTATGTTCTTTTTAATGAATCGCCCTGTATTTTATTTTATATTTGAATTGCCCTCACTTTTCCCATTCTAAAAATATAAATTATTATTGGTTTATACAGGGTATTTTGCAGGATATAATCAGTTTTGTATGAAAATCGTATTGAATTCAATGACCTCTGTCATGAAAAAGAAACCATTGATAACCAATTTTTTTTCTGCCACAATTTTTCAATCATGGTCAAATTTTATCCGGGGATACTCCTTTTTTCAATTCGCATCAAATCTGTACAGGGTGAGTCAAAATACAAATACATAATTTTCTCAATTTTTTTAAATGGTTCACTCTGTATTTAATATCATCGTTCAAAAGTATCTTAATTATACTTTAATTTGACTTAAGCATTCTCTATACCAAAAGTTAATAGTTTTTAGAGATTTTTAAATTTTAGTGGTAAAAACGATAATTCAGAAACTAATTGATAGAAAATACATTCTGTTTGATAATTAGTAATTATTACAATTTAACCAGCTGTAATTTATTATCCATTTTTACATTAAGAAAGAAAAAAATATCAGTAGCTAGCACAAATTTACGGCAGCGTAGAAGGACCACATTTTTTTATTTTTTAATTCTAAAATTCCGTGTTCAAACACGGAATTCCTTGTCCAAACACGGAATTCCGAATTAAAACACGGAATTCCGAATTCAAACACGGAATTCCGTATTCAAACACGGAAATTCTTGTTCGAACATATAAATCTAAAATTCCGTATTCGAACACGGAATTATTTGTCCAAACACGGAATTCCGAATTCAAACACGGAATTCCGAATTCAAAAACGGAATTCCGTATTCAAACACGGAAATTCTTGTTCGAACATATAAATCTAAAATTCCGTATTCGAACACGGAATTCCTTGTCCAAACATGGAATTCCGAATTCAAACACGGAATTCCGAATTTAAACACGGAATTCCGTATTCAAACATGGAAATTTTTGTTCGAACATATAAATCTAAAATTCCGTATTCGAACACGGAATTCCTTGTCCAAACACGGAATTCCGAATTCAAACACGGAATTCCAAATTCAAACACGGAATTCCGTATTCAAAAACGGAAATTCTTGTTCGAACATATAAATCTAAAATTCCGTATTCGAACACGGAATTCCTTGTCCAAACACGGAATTCCTAATTCAAACACGGAATTCCGTATTCAAACACGGAAATTCTTGTTCGAACATATAAATCTAAAATTCCGTATTCGAACACGGAATTCCTTGTCCAAACATGGAATTCCGAATTCAAACACGGAATTCCGAATTTAAACACGGAATTCCGTATTCAAACACGGAAATTTTTGTTCGAACATATAAATCTAAAATTCCGTATTCGAACACGGAATTCCTTGTCCAAACACGGAATTCCGAATTCAAACACGGAATTCCAAATTCAAACCCTGAATTCCGTATTCAAAAACGGAAACTCTTGTTCGAACATATAAATCTAAAATTCCGTATTCGAACACGGAATTCCTTGTCCAAACACGGAATTCCGTATTCACAAAAGGAAATTCTTGTTCGAACATATAAATCTAAAATTCCGTATTCGAACACGGAATTATTTGTCCAAACACGGAATTCCGAATTAAAACACGGAATTCCGAATTCAAAAACGGAATTCCGTATTCAAACACGGAAATTCTTGTTCGAACATATAAATCTAAAATTCCGTATTCGAACACGGAATTCCTTGTCCAAACATGGAATTCCGAATTCAAACACGGAATTCCGAATTTAAACACGGAATTCCGTATTCAAACACGGAAATTTTTGTTCGAACATATAAATCTAAAATTCCGTATTCGAACACGGAATTCCTTGTCCAAACACGGAATTCCGAATTCAAACATGGAATTCCAAATTCAAACACGGAATTCCGTATTCAAAAACGGAAATTCTTGTTCGAACATATAAATCTAAAATTCCGTATTCGAACACGGAATTCCTTGTCCAAACACGGAATTCCGTATTCAAAAACGGAAATTCTTGTTCGAACATATAAATCTAAAATTCCGTATTCGAACACGGAATTCCTTGTCCAAACACGGAATTCCGAATTTAAACACGGAATTCCGAATTCAAACACGGAATTCCGTATTCAAACACGGAAATTCTTGTTCGAACATATAAATCTAAAATTCCGTATTCGAACTCGGAATTCCTTGTCCAAACACGGAATTTCGAATTTAAACACGGAATTCCGAATTCAAACACGAAATTCCGTATTCAAACACGGAATTCCTTGTTCGACTATGGAAATATAAAATTCCGTGTTTGAACACGGAATTTCCGTGTTCGAACAAGGAATTCCTTGTTCGAACACGGAATTTTAGTTTCGAACTATAAATTTAAATGGCGTTACTCTTGGGGATCTTGGGGAGGGATGGATTTATTGAAAATCCTCAGATTTTTACTTTTGCCGTATTTTGAAAAGAGGGATGACATAAGTACAGTTAATCAAATTTCTAGAGGCTTTCGACGGCTGGACAGAGAAAGCACTACTGACAGGCATCCCGACGGATTTACGCAATGAAAGTACACTCTGCGCATCAAGTATTTCACTATTTCATTCAGACGTAAATGTCAGATGTAAATTTCGCTAAAACATTTCTTTTATTTTCGTTTGTGTTTTTTGCTCATTACAGTTTAATAGAACCTAAGTATGGAGTTTAATAGCAAATTAAGAGGCCGCGTGATTAACAGTCAATCTCGCGAAATAATAGCCAATGTTATAGAGTTTATGAGAAGAGAAGGAAACTTTAATTCACCTTCAATACCATTTAAAAATGTAAATGATCGTGTTGCTGCAGCCACAGGAGTATCTAAAAACACTGTCGTCCGCATTTCTGGAGAGAAAAAAAGAATCGATAACCGTGAGATATCAGAATTTTCATCACCAAGAAAAACCATTAAAAAACCAAAAACAGTTAATGATATAGATGAAGCTGCACAAGAATCAAATTTTATTTTTTT